ACCATAATTTGAAGAATCAGGTGAATTCCAGAGTTGACTGGGGTAGAGAGAAGGGAGGAGGAAGGAACAAAATGTGTAATAGTGAATGAATGAATGAATGAAAAGCCAACCTTTCCATGAATGAATGCATGAAAACTCAATAAAAGGTTCCTTAAACTTCTGTTAAAATTACAATAAAAATAAAAAATTTGTTGTTGTTATGTACTGTTGTGTAGCCTAAGATCCATCACAACCCTATGTACAGCATCACTGAAGCCTGTTCTGTTCTGAGCCAGTCTCACTGATTCTGACACACAAACCCCCATTGCCCCAGTTACAATATCAATCCATCTAATCTGGGGTCTTCTTCTCCTGCACTGTCCCTCCACTCTTCTGAGCATGATGTTCTTCTCCAAGGACCAGTCTCTCTTGGCCACATGCCCAAAATATGTGAGACAGAGCTTCAAAATCCTAGCCTCCAAGGAGAAGCTTGGTTTCACCCTCTCCAAGACAGATCTATTTGTTTTCTTGGCAGTCCAAGACTCTTCTCCAGCACCACAACTTGAAAGCATCTATTCTTCTGCCTCCGAAGAGCAACGATGTCAGTCTGGAGACTAAGTTGCACCTGGTACAGGCCTTGGTCTTTGCAATTACTTGCTATGCATCAGAGAGCTGGACAATGACTAGGGAGGAAAGAAGGAGAATTGATGCCTTTGAGCTGCGGTACTGGAGAAGAGTATTGAATATACCATGGACTGCTAGGAGAACAAACAAATTAGTTCATCCTGGAGAGTGTTAGGCCAAGCTACTCCTTGGAGGCAAGGATTCTGAAGCTTCGTTTGACATACTTTGGACATGTTGCAAGGAGAGATCCTTGGAGAGGGACATCATGCTTGGGAGGGTAGAGGGACAACACAGGAGAGGAAGATCCTCAATGAGATGGATTGATTCAGTCACTGAGGTAATAGGGACAGGTCTGTTGGAGACAATAAGATTGGAACAAGATAGAGTAGGTTATAGGGCTGTTGTACATAGGGTCACTATGAGTCACAGGCAACTCAATGGCACTTAACAACAACAACAACAACAACAACAACACTCTTTTGTCCTCTTTGGTCATTTTCCAGCTCTCTAATGCATAGCATAGCAAGTAATTGCAAAGACCATGGCCTAGATTAGGTGCACTTTAGTCTCTAGACTGAAATAGTTGTTTTTCAGCACTCTGGAGAGGTCTCTGACAGCAGATTTTCCCAGTACAGTTCGTCCTTTGATTTCCTGACTGCTGGTGCCAAGAGTGTTGATTGTGGAGCCAAGCAAGCTATAGTTGTTAACAACCTCAATCTCTTCTCCATCTGTCATAGTGCTGCCAATTGGCCCAGAAGTAAGGATCTTTGTCTCCTTGATTTTGAGCTTCACATATTGAAGCCTTCAATCCTTGAATTTCTGCAGCAGGTGCTTCTGTTCTTCCTCACTTTCAGCAAGCAAGGTTTTGTCATCTGCATAACACAGGTTGTTTATGAGTCTTCCTTCAATCCTGATGCCACAGTGTTCTTCCTAAAGCCCAGCCTCCCAAATGATCTGTTCTGTATTAAACTGAGAGATACGGAGACAGGATGCATCACTCACACACTTTTTTCCTGATTTTGAACCATTCAGTAAGTGTTTCCTTGCTCTGTTCTGAGGACTGTATCCTTTTCCAAGTATAGATTTCACATAAACATAGTCAAGTGTTCTGAGATTCCCATTTTCCTCAAGGTTAGCTATTCTTTGTTGTGATACATCACAGTCAAATGCCTTTGTATATTCACTAAAAGCATAGATATTCCTCTGGTATTCTTTGCTTTTTGCCAAGATCCATCTGACTTTGACAAGAATGTCTCTAGTGCCATGACCTCTTCTAAACCCAGCTTGTATTTCTGGTAGTTCTCTGCCAATGTACTGTTCCAATCATTTCTGGATAATCGTTAACAGGATTTTGCTACCATGTGATACTAGTGATATTGTTCAATAATTTCCACTCTTTGTCAAGTCACCTTTTTTTGGAATGGGAATAAATACAGATCTTTTCTAATCAGTTGGCCTGGTAGTTGTCCTCCAGATTTCTTGGTACAACCTGGTGAGCACATACAGGGCAGCATCTGTTTGTTGAAATATGTCAATTGGTATTCCATCAATTCTTGGGGCTTTATTTTTTTTTCAAAGTTCTTCAGAGCAGCCTGCACTTCTTCCTTTATCACCACTGCCTTTTGATGATAAGTTGTTTCTTGCAATTCTTCTGTATCAGCTAATTCTTTTTAGTATAGTGACTCTGTCTACTCCTTCCATCTTCTATTAATGCTTCCTGAATCATTCAGTATTCTTCCCATAGCATGCTTAACCGTTGCAACTCACGGCTTGAATTTGTTCTTTAGTTCCTTTAGCTCCAGCTCCTTGCACATTTATACATTATATATTGATAATATTATAATAATAACATTATAATACTTTGCCTTGTCTTCCGAAGCTTCCCTTTGAAATCTTCTATTCAGCTTCTTAACTTCTTGATTTTTTCCCCTTTGTTTTGGCTTCTTGGTATTCCAGTGCAATATTCAGAGTCTCTACTGACATCGATTTTGGTCTTTTTTTTTTCCTTCCTCCTTCTTTGTTATGTAAATGACACAAGCTTGCTTGCAGAAGTTGAGGAGGACCTGAAGTGCTTGCTACAGAACGTCCTGGACTATAGTCTTCAATATGGATAGAAGTTCAACATCAAGAAGACAAGAATTTTCACTTGGTGGACCAATTGGCAGCACCATGATAGATGGAGAAGAGATTGAGATTGTTAATAATTAAAGCTTGCTTGGCTCCAAAATCAACACTCTTGGCATCAGCAGTCAGGAAATAAAAATATCAATTGTTTTGGGAAAAATCTGCTGTCAGGGACCTCTCTAGAGTACTGAAAAGTAAAGATGTCAGTGTAGAGACTAAGGTGCACCTAATCCAAGCCATGGTCTTTGCAATTACTTGCTATGCTATGCATCAGAGAGCTGGACAATGACCAAAGATGACAGAAGAATAGATGCCTTCAAGTTGTGGTGCTAGAGGAGTCTTGGACTGCCAAGAAAACAAATAAGTCTGTCTTGGAGAAGGTGAAACCAAGTTTTTCCCTGGAGGCTAAGATTTTGAGGCTCCGCCTCACATATTTTGGGCACATGGCCAGGAGAGACCAGTCCTTGGAGAAGGACTTCATGCTCGGACAGTTGGAGGGACAGTTCAGGAGAGAAAGACCTCGGATGAGATGGATAGATACAGTAACTGGGGCAATGGGGGTTGGTGTATTAGAATCAGTGAAACTGGCTTAGGACAGGGCCAGCTTCAATGCTGCTCTACATAGGGTCGCTAGGGGTCTTAGGCTGCTTGATAGCACATAACAGCATGACAATGCTTTTTATAACAATAGACCAAAAAACCTATTCCTCATTGATCATCATGGTTAGATTTCAAAATCAGTGTTACATGAATATGGAGGATGGCTACATCAGATCACAAAACAGATGAAAAGTTTATAATTAAGTAATTGCTAAATTACATCATTACATAACTGCCTACCTATTAAAAACTATAATCAGCAAGTTAAGTAGCCTTAACTATCAGGGGTCCTTCCATATTCTACTTTAGCATTTATTATTGCCAGATGTGTGTTGTTAATGCATAGAATAGAGAGTTTTTTGCTATTGTTGTAAATGCAAAAAAACAAAGCACGAAAGAGTAAATGCAAAACGTTGGAAAACAAGATTGTTGATAAGTAGGTCTATTCGCTAAAAGCTGCATACTTTCACTCCTGGACTCTTTTTTCTATCTGCTTTAAAGCACAAACAAGGATTTTCCAAATCTCCAGTACTAGTAATAAATTATTTTCTATTTGGTACCTTCTTTTTGTCCCTAGTTCAATCACCCGCCTCCTTTGCGTTATGCAGCTTCTCGGTGATCTATTAATGTGTTATCTCTCCCTTTTTTCAAATTTAAAATTATAATAGAAACACCATTGTAAAGGCACAAAAACACAAAGAGTGAAAAGTCTTCCAATGAGCCCCGTGTGCCAGCCATGAGATACGCTCCCTAGAAGCACATGTGTCTGGGACTCCTTTATTAATCCCCTAGTGTCTCTCACTACTTGTTTAGAGATGGCACAATTTATGTTCTGTAAAGACAACTCCGGAAATGTCAGTGAGTACAAATATCAAGTGAATGCAGGGGACCTAGGATGTTGTGAGCTACGAGGGGATTTGGGCTTCACATCCCCATCAGGCACAACTTGAAAGACTCTCACATTTCTTTGGTAGCAGATAGGCAGTTGGGAAACACTGATGAAGGGCATTCAAGGAGGGTTTACTTACAGCATATATGTGGACTGAGGATCAAATGAGTAGAGTAGAAAGAGGGTGAAGGCAACCATTGCGGAACAGCATTGGAAAATCAATTTGGAGAATATGTAGGGTAGCTATAAGTTGGATGCTTGCAGCTGTTTCTCCTCATTTTGATTGACTTCCAGGCTGAGCTTTACCTCTAATACTATAGCTACCACTATTTCCCTATTGTTCATAGAGTTTTCAGGGGCATGTTTTTTCAGAAGTGGATGGTCAATCCTGCTTTCCAGTCTGTAGGATAAGGTTTGCCTTGCTCTCCACACTTGCTCCAGCCCTGCCCATATATGACTGTATTAGCCCAGAGTTAGGAGAACCAGCTGGTGTCCAGTACAGGCAAGAAGCTGTTGCCCCACTGGGCCACAGCTACATCCATGTGAACACACCACTCTTGCCAACTAGGTTGCCAGGTGTTCCTTGGGTGGCTCCACTGCACTGAAGTTGCAATCTGAAGAACTGTGGAGTTCTCTTCTTGGTTGCCAGAAACACCCCAGGTTATGAGATTCATTGAGGATACCAAAAGCATTTAGATAATGGGACAACTGCTCTGATCCAAATGCACATCGGTATGGGTTATTTTTATTCACATTTATAACAACCTCGGGTTTTCTCATGTAGGGGTCTCCAAAGCCATTTTAGAAGGTGCTGGACCAGATGTGGAAGTGGAATGCTCTCTTCAAGGTAAGGCAGCTTACTGGCTTTATTTGTGGGTGACTAAATGTGGGAGGTTTTTGGAGAGGCTGGGAAACATGGGAGATAATCTCAAGACAGTCCTTAAATCATATGTTTACTAAAGAATCTGATTATAGAGAATTAGAAGTAATAATTAATAGTCCCTTTTAAAAGAAAGTAGTTACCCATGACTTATGTATGCATTAAAGACTCCAGATTTCTGGAGTCTTATATAAAATGCTTTTTTAACTGAACCAGAGATCTTGATTTCTCAACAGCCAGAATATGAGGTTAGCATCTAATTTTTCTTCATCTGTTTCCTAGTTCAACAGGGCAAACACAATTATATAATTACCAAAGGTGGACGTTTGAGGTGCAAGAATATTATTCATGTAATTGGAGGAAATAATGTCAAGAAATCTGTGACCTGCATTTTGCAAGAGTGTGAAAAATTGAATTATGAGTCCATTTGCCTCCCAGCCATTGGAACCGGTTTGTATCCCTGAGCTGTCAAGGCTCAATCCACAGGCATTTGCTTTCTCTTAAATTTGGAAATTCCTCAGACACCCAGCCAGAGTAAGAACAGGTTCCTCACCCATCCCAAGTATTTCTTGAGGGAAGAAGGAAAGTCTGTGGGTGGGTCATTTAAGAAAAATAAGGGGAAATAAAGACTGAAGAGAGTGCTAGGACTTTGATACAGAAGGAAGGGGAACAAGGGGAGGGGAGGACAGGGTGAAAAAAAGAAAGGCTAGCTATCACCTTTTTAAAAAAAATAGATATTTTAATGAAAGTTTATAGAAACTTCGATCTCCATTCATTCATTGTTGCACATTTTCCTCCATACTACCCCAGTTCATTTTTCTCTTTGGGAAAAAAAAAATTATTTCATTGTTGCACAATTTCCTCCCCTCTCCCCCCAGTCCACTTTACTATGTAGCTCTTATTCTGGACTATTGTCATGCAAATAATACCTATTCATATATTTCTTTTAAACAGTTTTTTCCCTCATCTGTTTCAATGCAGTGTCCATGATTTATCCCCTCTTTTCTTAGTTTGCCCTCATGTCAGTCCTATATTATAATGGTGGCATTACACAGTATTTGTCCTTTTGTGACTGAGATATTTCATTCAGCATAATGTCCTCTAGGGTTACCCGTTTTGTATATTTCATGAGGTCTTTTTTCAGTGCTGCATAGTATTCCATTGTGTGAATATACCACAGCTTCTCTATCCATTCATTTGTTGATGGACACTTCCCCCCCCCAAATAAAAAGGTTTTTATTCATTCTGTTATAGAGACTTGCTGACTTGAGTTGGCTGCATCCTGGAGTTCTGGGATATCACCCAAGAACATGGTTAAGCAAAAAGTACTTCCTCTTAATTGACTGCATAAATGCCAATCACCTGATTTTGGGAATCACTCTGGTGCTCCAGAGTCCACCTCCCTAGATTTGGGGCAGTAAGGATCTATCCAGTGAGATTCCATCAGTCTCCTTCATTTGTGAGGATACTGCTCATACCAATTGTTTTAGCCTCTCAGGACCAGGGGAAGATCAGAAAACAAAGCTTGGTCCTTTGGGCAATTGAAATTTTAGTGCCATACAGCCCTCGACGGTGGTGGGGTTTGGCGCCCATGATATCTGGGCAATGATGTGGCTGAGAAGAAGTTTGCTTTAGACACATTGAACTTTCTGTTTTTTGTGAGGTGTCATGCCATCATACATCAGGTCTTTGAATAGTTGTTGTCACTGCCTGACACACATTTCCATCCTCACTCATACTTCTTGTACATGGAAAATCTGTAATAATTTTTTTGGGTGGAGTGACCCAGTTTACATGTCACTTTTTTTGAGAAGCCTTTCTTGACTCTCTGTGGTACAGGGGGTTGATTTTAAAAATGGCTTTCCTAGTCCATTGGTTTGATTTCCATCACCGGGCTGAGTGGGGATATGCTAGTGATGTGAACGAGTTGAATTGTACCTTTTGGATGGCAATATGCAAATAGAGTGTGTAGTCTTTCCATGAGGGCATTGCCAGTTTTGCCATCCTGCCAAGTTTAAATTGAACAGATTCAGTGGCAGAAAGAAGCAGAGACTGCAGTGTGTGTCCTTTTGGGCCAGAGACTCCTATACTAGTCAGATCTGGATTCACGTGAGAGCAGCAGCAGCAGTGGAGAACTGGAGACTGATGTGAGACAGAGCTCTGTTGGAACTGCTACCTGACGGGCCAGAGTCAAGAGCCTTCACCCAAGCTTTCTTTAGACCTCTGTGTATATGTGTATTGTTGTGCTGTACCGTCAAGTCAGAAATGACCAATAGCTGACCCTCCAGCGGGTTTTCAGAGGCAGTAATGGAGGAGATTGCCCATTAGCTCTTGTCTTCTAATCTGTTCCTTTCTATATTTTTTCCACTTCCCTATATGTCCAACTTAACTGTTTATTTCTTAATTTCTTCCTCTGTCCCATCTCCTAGGGTGCTCTAGGGGAAGGAACTAGTGCTGCCAACCCAAAAGCAGGCAGTTTGAGTCCATCATCAGCTGCTCTGTGGGAGAAAGATGGGCATTGATCTTCCTGTGGTGTTTGGAGCCTCTGGACACCCACTGGACAGTCAGCTATGAGTTGTTTCCAACTCAAAGGCACACAACAACAACATCCTCTCTGCAGAGAGAACTGTTTATTCCCAGTGGGTCAGATTCCTCTCCTCACACAGGATCATCTTTGGAGGGCTGTTGATGGACACTTCATACTCTGTTCCATCTCGTACTCAACAGTCGGCTGGGTCTGCTGACCCAAGGGCATCTCTGTGGGAGCTTCTGAGTCAGTAGCACCAACTGGGCCAGAAACCCAGCTCTCCACCTTCCTCTTTTTTAGCTCACTTGCCACCTTTGAGGTTGTTTCATCAAAGTATGTAATGACTATGGGCTTCTCCTTGGATGAAGGGATCTGGTGGTACAGTCCAGAGCGAGTTCTACTGCTAACCTAATGACATTTCTCTGTAATATGGTGATACTTTGTGAGCCATTTTGTCAGGAAGCAGAACCTATGTGCATTTACTAGGATTTCCCGCTCAGTCCCTCATAGGAATTATAAGAGAGCTGGCTAGGTGTGGCATGTCCTCTTAGGCCTGAGGTGGAATGGAGCTGACTGGTTCCAGTGAGAGAGAATTCAGCTTTGGATCTGTTTTTCTGGTGCTCTAGAATTGATGTTTCTGATATTGGCTTTCTGTTGTGTTTTGTGCTGTTCTCAGCCTCATGAATAATGGATCTGAGTCTTGATCTATCCTGAGCCATCTTCATCTCTGACAAACTTGAGCCCATTGTTACAGTAACTGTCAATCTGTCTTGATGAAGGTTTTCCTCTCTTTCACTGACCCTCCACCTTTCCAAGTATCATGTCCTCTAAGGACTGGCCCCTCTAAACAATGTGCTCAAGATACTGTTTTCATGACCCTGGCTGCATTGTTTCCAAGACTTACTCATTCATTCTCTTGTCAATCCATGGGATATTCAGTACATTTCTCTGATATCCCAACTCAAAGGCCTCAGTGTTTATTCTGTCATCCTTAGTCATTGTACGATTTTCAGCTGCAAAACAAGTATTTGAAAAGACCATGGCTGAGTCAAATACACCTTAGTCTTTAAACTGACATCATGCTTCTTAACACCCTAGACAGGTTCTTGAAAAAATATTTTCCAATACCTCCTTTGATTTCTTTTTTTTTTTTTTACCTCCTTTGATTTCTTGACTGCTGCGTCTGTGGTGTTGATTGTGGATCCAAGCAAGATGAAATTGTTGACAATCTCATTCTTCTTTCCATCTATCATGATTTTGCCTACTGGCCCAGTGGTAAGGATTTTTGGAGAGTGAATTACTGAATTTTGTACAATCAATGGTTTATTCATTGAAAATACTTTTGTCTTCTTTTTTATTTTTTTGAAAATACCTTCTTAAAAATATACAAGGAGAAGCCCATAGTTATTACATACTTTGAAGGATGCTACGGGCAAAATCTTGAATGATCTAGGGAGAAGCAGAAGAAGATGGAGGGAATACAGAGTCACTGGACCAGAAAGAATTGGCTGATAGAGAACCGCTTCAGGAGGTAGCAGATGATCTGGTAAAAGAAGAATTTCTCACTGCACCAAAGGCTTTGGCATTCTAGATCCTCTCAAAACTTACTCTTAATAAATATAACCATCTTTGTCACATTCAAGACCTCCTATTCTGCTGATCCATATAAAACTTTTTGTAGTTCTCCATTCTTCTTCATAATATTCCTATGTGAAATTCTATGGTAACTTTATTATCTATTTTAAAAACCAGAATTTCTAACCCATTGTTTTCATTCCCCTTGCAGCATTATTCATCCCTAGTAGATTAAGCAAGATCTTGTCTTATTTGTCCATCTCTCTGACTTCCTTTTTTCCCTTCACTCCTTGTTGTTGTTATGTGCTGACGAGTGGCTTGTGACTCAGAGCGACCCTATGTAAAAGAGCCCTAAACCCTACTCTATCCTGTGCCAACCTCACCGTCTCTGAAACACTCACTCCCACCACCCCAATGACAGAATCGATCCATCTCATCGAGGGTCTTCCTCTCCTGCGCCGTCCCTCCACTCTCCCAAACATGAGTTCCCTCTCCAAGGACCAGTCTCTCTTTGCAACATGCCCAAAGTATGTCAGACAAAGCTTCAGAATCCTGGACTCCAAGGAGCATTCCAGCTTCCCCCTCTCCAGGACAAACCTGTTTGTTCTCCTAGCAGAGAACAAACAATTCTCTTTCTATCATCCATAGTCATTTTTCAACTCTCTGATGCATAGCAAGCAATTGTGAAGACTATGGCCTGTATCAGGCACACCTTAATCTCCAGCCTGACACCTTTGCTCTGCAGCACTTTGGAGAGGTCCCTGACAGCTGACTTTCCCAATGCAATTCATCTCTTGATTTCCTGGCTGCTGGTACGTACCAAAAGTGTTGACTGTGGAGCCAAGTAAATGAAAACTGTTAACAATCTCAATCTCTTCACCATCTATAATGATGTTACCTATTGGTCTAGTGGTGAGGATCTTTGTTATCTTGTGTTGACCTTCAATCCATATTGAAGGCTGCAGTCCTTGACCTTCTGCAGCAAGCGCTTCAGGTCCTCCTAAGTTTCTGCAAACAGGGTTATATACATAATTATATACTGAGATTATATATATGTGTGTGTATACACACACACACACACATAATGCTTCTGCTGATTTTTGTATAACAGTTTTAAAAAAAATTTTTGTATAACATAGCTTTCTCCTTCAGTTGTCCATAGTTCCATTCATGACTTCTCCTGTCACATCCTCAGTTTCCTAAATACTTGACTGATAACCTGCCCTGTGCTGGAATATGGTAAATGTTTCTGTTCTTGTGTGCCATTTAGACAGAACTGTAGGTTTTCAAAGGCAGTTAATCACACAGGCGAAGACTTCCCATCTTTCTCCCACAGAGCAGCTGGTGGATTTGAACTGTGTACCTTTGAGTTGGCAGCACAACTCCTTACCACTAACCCACATACACACACACAAGTTTATAGAGAGTGAATAAATGTACTTGAATACTTCTTTTAAATATCATATACCTGGATATCATGATTTTGTAAAGGATAATTTTCCTCTTGATCACATAATACAAAAAGCAGAGCAAACTTAGTTAGCTTTATATGGATACTTCCCACAATCATCTACTTAGCTAAGTCAAAGACATCTCTTCTTATTTTCTGCAGGAATGAATGGTGGTATCTCAACAAGGATAACCCAAGAGGGGCATTTCATTGCTTATGATTATGTGCAATGCAGGCTGCCATTCATACGGAACCATCTCCATTGCTGGAAATTGGCTTTTCATAATCTTACCTGAGTAGTGGCTGACACAGCTTGAGAAAGAGTGTAGGGAGCATGCTGACTACAGGAAAGGACTTGCTCAGGGCGGCAATCTTGAAGCCAGAGAGACAGCTGAAATGTTACTAGTTGTGAGAAGTAAGACTTTCTAGAGGCTCTTGAATAACTTGTGTGCAAACAATTACAAATTAAATCACTGGGGCTTCTGGTTTCTTCCAAAATTAACTTGTTTCATTGAGATTTGAGTGAGAGTTACAGGAAAATTAGCTTTACATTCAGCCATTCATTCATATTTTATGACAATTTAACACCTACATGGCAACCACATACCTTCTTACCTCTTCCTTGTGATTCTCATTTCCATTAATCTTTTTATTCTATCCCTTCTTGCTTTCTGAGATTTATCCCTGAGCAAATACTGCCCTTTTGAGAGTGTTGTTGTTGTTGTTATTGTTGTTGTTGTTGTTGTGTGCCACTGAGTCAACTGCTACTCAGAGAGACCTTCTGAACAACGGAACTGAAACCTGTGCCATCCTCACCATCTCCAACACACCTGAGCCCATTGCTACAGTTATTTCATCTTGTTGAGGGTCTTTCTATCTTCTTTGACCTTTCCGAGAATGATGTCCTTCTTCAAGGACTGGCCCCTCCTAAAAATATGCCCAAAGAATGTGAGATGAAGTTTCACCATCCTTGCTTCCAAGGAGCACTCTGGTTTCACTTTTTCAAAAACAGACTTGTTTGTTCTCTTGGCATTTCATGGGATATTCCCAACACCACAGACTACAACTCAAAAGCATCAGTTCCTCTGTCATCCTTAGTCATTGTCTAAACTTCAGATGCATAGCCAGTCCTTGAGAAGATCATGGCTTGGATTAGGCATAACTGAGTTTTTAAGCTATCATTGTATTTTGGAGAGGTCCCATATAAATTATGTATAGCCAAATCAAATGATGGCTAAGATAAAATACCTTGTTTTACTTTTTAAAGAACTTGCCATTTCAGGATACATGCACATTTGCATTTTATATTTATTTATATTTAGTTTATGTATATATTTATATTTACATTTATATTTTGAGGATACTAGATCTAATGAATAAAATTTACCTCTGTTCAGTATAGGAAGGAGGAATACAGTGAACATAGTGAGATTAGCTGAGTTGAGCAGATAGGAATGTAGACACCAGTGATTTGGTTTCAGGTTGTTTGTTCATTGATAAAGTTTTGGTGTCTTGATATCCTGTACCAACCACTCCCCATTACATATAATACTTGAAAACTGGCTGTTGAGGCATTGGTAGAACATTTGACAGTCATGAGTGTTAGTGAGTGGGCATTTGCTCTATGATAATTGTAATCTCTCCTTACTTTTCAATATTTTCCACTGAATCTTTTGTTTTGAGTCATTTTTAGAAATTCTTTTTCTAGGGAGTGCCAAGCAAGACCCAGATATAGTTGCTAAAGCTATGATGGATGCCATTGAAGAGTTTATCCAGAAAGGATCTGTCCATTCTGTGAAGAAAGTAAAAGTTGTTATCTTCCTGCGTCAAGTCCTGGATGTCTTTTATACCAACATGAAAAAAAGAGAAGGGTCTCCATTTTCTCCTCAACCATCGAGGCTGTCTAAATTTGCATGTAAGTTGTTGATTTTCATGATTTCCATCTTTCTAATATTGATTCCAGGGAACTCTGGTGGCCTAGTAGGTAAGGAATTGTGCTGCCAACCCAAAGGCAGGTGGTTTGAATCTACCAACTGCTCCTAGGGGGGAATGGGCAATCTCTTCCTGAACAGTTTATGATCTCTTAAAACTCACCAAAGCATCAGCAGTGGGTTGATACGAACTTGTTGGAAATGAATGAATGAATGTAATGAATGAGTAATGTACACACTACATGCAAAACACCTAAAAGTCCCTTTTTGGGTTTTGTTTGTTTTAGCATTTTTAGGTTTGTCACGACAACCTAAAAAAAACCCAAGTCCTATGGTTTTAAAAAAAGAAGCAGAATCAGCAGTTTTCCAGGTGTGTGGTGACAATGAAAGAAATATAAGAAACGCTATCTCCTGGATTCAAGATCTGATTGAAAAGGAACAGTTTACTTACACCAATGAAGATGAGTGTATCAGAGACTTTGATGAAAAGAATGATCAGGAATTGAAAACACTGCAGAAGACCTTAAATATTGACCTTTTCCTGGACTACCAGAAACCTTTGATTAAGGTTTGTGGAATTACCAGGGATGTCATGACAGCTTCACGTATGATCGAGGATATAATCAAGAGAGTTAGAGGAGCCAAAGAACAGGAATCTCAGGCTAACTGTATCAGTGAATTTATAGAATGGCAGTATAATGACAACAACACATTTTGTTCATTTGACAAAATGACAAACCTGCAGTTGGAGAATGCAAAAAGAGCAAAGCAAAAGACAGTTAGTGTCAAAATTAAAAATCAGAGCTACACTGTGGACTTACATACACGCACTGCTACAAGTGCAAATGGACACAGCTTACCTGTTCAGCGCCTCTGCAAATTTGAAGGTAAGTTAAACTTTTATCCTTGTAATCCATTATTTTATATCTACTTTTGACATTTTTGTGCTGACATCAATATTTTACTTAAGCAAATAAAACTCAAGTATGTTTTGTAAAGAATACATTTAAAACTTGGCCTCTGACTTTGAACTTGTGTTAAGACCCGGACAATACAGTTTGGACATATTCAACAGTCCAAGGATGACTGTCTCAATGGTGACATTAGCTAACCTTCCATTTGTTCTTGTCCCTATGGGGAGCTCTGATGGCCTAGTCTGTAGGGAGTTTTACTACTAATCCATAGGCTTCACCTATTAGGCGATTCAAATCCAAGAGTGGCCCCACAAGAGAAAGATGAACAATCTCTTACTGTTTAATTTACAGTCTTGGAAACCCAGTTGAGGGTGTTATGAGTCAGTCCCAACGCCACAGCAATGAATTTTGAATTCTCTGTGGTTTACAAGCTTCTCAGCATTAGTTGTTCTGGGGAGGTCAAGGGAGGGAAATCCAGGGACTTAAAAAAATTGGACCATGGCTTTCTCAAAGAAAGGGGCAGCAGAGCAGAAAATGGAGAGGCTGATCAGGATGTGAACTCTCCTCTCTTCCTGTGACTGATGAACAGGGGAGGATCAGGAACATTTGTGGTCCTCTCTCAGAATTAACCTCAGCCCTGAGCATAAAGTGCCACGATACGTCCATCAAATGACAGCTTTAGATTCTCAGAATGGACCTACCCCATAAGATAAGAGTGTCTGCATTGTGTAAATAGCCTTTCTTGCCTTTAAATCCCATTTAAACTAGTCATTTGGCTTTCTGCATACTCTAATCAACACTTGTCATTTTAGTGGAAATGAATTCCTTAGACTCTAAGAAGTCCTGGGGACCTCAGTATTATCTTGCTTAGCAGAGAAGGGAACAGAGCTGCCACCACAGCCTACCAGTCATCCCATCCAGTGCTTAAGGACACTGTGAAGAGTAATGACTAGATTGTGGAGGTGGTGGGTTCTGGCAAAAACTCATGTAAGTGTAAACAAAAAAGTAGTGGCTGTTTATTTAAAACATGGTAGGGAAGGAATTTGTTACAGTATTAAATTATGCTAGAGGTTGACTAAAATGTGCAGTCAAGTTATATTTCACCAGGAGTTCTCAAATCTTGGAGTGCTCTGGACACCTCCATATGATTCCCAAGAATGTAAATCCTAACAGATTACCCATATTTCTCCCTGAGAAAAGTTGATGGATTTGAACCACCAGAGGTGCATGCCCTTTGGCTTGGTAATGCAACTTGCTACAGACTATGTTCTCTTCTCAAATCTTAGGATGATCACAACTTATTAAGGTGCAAGTAGCTAGGTAGGTTCCACCTCCGAAATTCAGATTCAAGGGATCTATGTGGTTGGATTTTTTGTTTGTTTCTTTTAAAAACAATTATTTCTTTTCATTTTGCTATCAATTATCTTTGGAAAATATTCTACTAGAAAGAGAAAGGAAATTTTTCATGAAATAGAATTAAGAGATTGCAAAGCAAAAATACAGATGATACTCAGCTTTACAAAGCATACGAGGAATGTGGAATATGTAAACAAGTCTTCCGGGTTTGAAAGAATCCTTAAATGTCTACTTTGCAGTTGAGACCCCCACAAACTGGACTGATATGAAGCAGCAGACTTCCTGTGTGGTGAAGCTACAGCCTGGTAATCCTGAGTATAACATTGTGGCCAACAAGTTTAATGAGTCTTGCTCCAACTTCAGAATAGTGAAGGTGAGTGTTCTGTGGAAATAGAACCTCTGAGTGGTGGGAATAAATGGTATAATGGTCTTGTTGCTATTGTTGGTAGGTGTCGTTGAGTTGTGTACGACTCATGGCAACTCCTGGACAATCAATCTGAACTTTGTCCTATCCTGTCCCGTCCTCATCATCTGTGATATACTTAAGCCCATGGCTAAAGCTGCTGTGTCAATCCATTTTGTTGAGGGTTTTTCTCTCTTTGGCCCACCCTCCTCCTTTTCAAACATGGAATTCTTCCCCATGGACTCCTCCTCACAGTGTCCAAAATATGTGAGACAAAGCTTCACCATCCGTGCCTCTAAGAAACCCTTTGGCTGCACTTTCTCCAAGACATAGTCGTTTGTTCTTTTGGTAGTTCATGGGATATTCAGTACTCTTCTCCAACACCACAACTCAAAGATATCTATTCTTTTTACCTGTATAGACATATTTTCATTCACTTTCTAACACAGTTTTTAAAAAATATTTTATTTTACATTGGTTTGCATACAAAATTCATATACATTATATTTTATTAATGTACATTATGTTTCACATATTTTATTATTCATACTGTGTTTCATACAGTCATTCATATATACATTATGTTTTATAAAATCTATCACCATTGAACTATACTTACTATTACCCTGTCTTTTCAGGTCCCCACTGGATCTTTCCTAATTCCTTCACCCCACATTCCACCCACCAAATTCTATTATCCTAGCGAACCTCCCCATTTTTCACCCCTTTGCTCTCTCCTTCCCTTTTGCTAACACAATTTTTTACCTTGAATTATACTTTTATGATAATTTGGATTTTTATTTGTACGCACGTCACTATAAATTAGTGAGATATCGTCTCTTCTCCCCACCCGCACTCCGTTTTGTTGTTGTGAATATACACAGTAAAACATTTTCCACATGTACAATATAGTGACAGTGATTGTATTCATCAGGCTGTGCCACCATTCTCACCTTTTCTGAGCTCTTCCTTCTCCATTATTTCAGTGTCTTTTTTTTTTCTATAATTATATTTTATTAATTTTCATAAACATTTACAGAGATTTTGGGCCTCCACTCACTCATTGTTGCACTATTCTCTCTACCCTCCTCCCAGTTTGTTCTTGTCCAAATGCCACAGTGCTTGTCAAAGCCAGTTCTGATTAATCTTGTCAGTGTGTCCTTTGCCATTCCCTATCACTCCTCTCTGAGAGAGACTTCACCCTGAGTCATAAGGAAAAGGGGACGGCGTATTCTCTTAGCTACTTCCTGCTGAAAAGGGACGCTGTGGGTTTCAGGGTGAAGATCTTCTCTCACTACTCTAAAGGGCCCCTTTGGCAGTAGGAAACACATAGACTATTATGGAGACTGATTTTGGAATTCAGATGCACTCTTATTGATTGTGCTTGGCTGTACATGTACATATCCTTGAAGATGTATCATGGGGGTGTTGCAACCTAGAAGACACAAATTTGACTAACAAGTTATAAGTACATGAGTCCAAAAATTATGGAAAAGTAAAAGAAAAGATTCTTTCATTGTTTTACAAACCCTCCCCCAGGTCCCCTCCACCATGCAGCCCTCGCTCTAGTCCCCTGTGATGACAGAAATACCCAGTTACATCTCTCTTTTAAACGGTTCTCTCCCTCCTCTGTTTCAGTGCAGTATACATTATTGAACCCATCTTACTCAGTCTCTCCCCAGCCCCAAGGACAGTCCCATTCTACAACAGATTTCAGTGTCTTTTAAGGTTCCTGTCTAATCTTTGGAGTTGTTTGCTGTTGTCACTTTGATCTCATACTCATTCACTCATTGCCATTGAGTTAGAACTAACTCACAGGCTGCGAGTTACACAGGAGGAAATTTCCCATCTTTCAGAGCTGCTCATGGATTCAAATGACTGGAGAGGCTCAGCCTTTTTGTTAGCAGTGAAACTCCCTATGGAACCTATGCATAGAGATAATTCTTAAAAGAGCATAATGCTCAAAGTAGATAGATTTTACTAGTTAATCTAAACTATAATTTGACTTTAAGAAGACTTTAAGAGTAACTTTGGCTTGAGTTTTAAGGATTATTTCAGGGTAATCATTCCAGGGATTAACTCAACCCCCTTTACTCCAGAAAGTATGGCAGTTATGAAACGTTGAAGTTCTGTTTTCTATCTTTCCCTTTTTGACCAGAATCCTTCTATAGACTCTGATGAAAATATTCAGTAATGCTAAGTGGGCACTACCCAGTTCTTCTGATCTCATGGCAGAGTAGGGAGGAACTAACCACACATTTTATGGAAGGAATTTTATGTTTATGGGAGGAACTAACCACACATTTCAGAGTCATAGATTCTCTACTTGTTCTGCTTGTTTCTGATGAATAAAAGACCAACTGTCATGTCTTGGAAGGCTCCTTACAAGTTTTTTAGACCCAAGGCACTATGCAGAAACCTAGGAAACAGAACCGCTATCTATGTTATTAGGCCAATTCGATTGGGTGAACCATGACCCCAAACCTTCAATAAGCAGCCTCAGCAGCAAATTTTTTTATTTTAAAAGGTGGTACAGCTGTAAAGATATCTATTGAACCACTATTCCCTCCTTTCACATGTTCCTATTGTTCATCTTGTCTATCTGCTTATAAATGAATGTGCATTATTGTTGATATTACAAGATTGTCTAACATACAACTTTACTCAATTCAGCTTCTTATGGTGTACAACTTATTGACAGCAATTACAGTCATCAGCTGTGCAACTCTACCTGCAATCAACGAATGTTTCCGTCACTGTTAGCCTTTTCAGGGGAGCTCTGCAGGTGTAGTCGCTAGGGAGTTGTGCTACTAACCCACAGATGCTGCCTCTCCAATGGTCTGATGGTTTGAATGCAACAGCAGCTTCAAAGGAGAAAGAGAAGCAGTCACCTCCTATTTGGTTTGCTGTCTTGAAAACCCACTGGAGTGTCAGCTATGAGTTGGTTCTGACTCAGCAGTGACTTAAGTCTTCCATTCTTCCTACCTTTACCCCTGATAACCACGAATAAATATTGGTCTCTATACATTTAAATTTCTTGTTTTTTTTATATAAGTGAAGTCATGTCATATTTGTCCCTTTGTGATTAACTTCACTAAGTAGGCCCATTCTCCTCCAGCTTTGTCCATATTATAGCATGTTATGTCTGTATTTCCTCTACTAGTTACAGTTTGCACATCTATTTTGAATTTGTTTTTATTTGGGGTGTGAAGCATGGAACATGTGGGTTTTTTGCACACAGAATTCTAGCTTTCCCAGGATTTGGACATCGAAGTGTAGAGTTGTTTCTGAACTTTTAGTTCTGTTCCATTGGTCTGATTGTTATACCAGTACCAGGCTGCTTTGGGTACAGTAAAATGTACTTGAAAATCAGGAATTGTGAATCCCCCTACTTTGTCTTTCTCTTTCAGCACTGTTAATAATCTGTGGCTGTTTGGTGCCTCTTGCCATTTCACATAAGGTTGAGGGTTGGATTTGCCAATTTTTGTAAAGGAAATTGAGCATTTTGATTGGCATTGCCTTGACTCTCTAGATCATTTTGGGTAGTACTCACATCTTAGCAATACTGTTTTCCAACCCAGAAACACAGAACATCTTTCCATTTATTTAAGTCTTCTTTCTTTTTAGGAGTGTTTTACAATTTTCTTTGTGTAGTTCTTCATATATCTTGTTAGACTTTGTCATTGTCATCAAGTGCCGTCGAGTCGTAGGCAACGCATAGCAACCCTATGAATGAAAGTCCTCGACACTTGCATGACTTTCATCCTTTTTCCAGGTTCATAGGGTTTCTGGAAGCAAGCTGTTAAAGAAGTGGATGCCACTCCTGTTTCCAATGTTAGACTTATTCCCAGATATTTTATTTTCTAAGATGCTATTGTAAATGGAATTGTTTGCCTGATCCTTATTTCAGACTTCTTATTGTTGCTGTATAAAAACTAACTACGTTTTGTTCACTTTGTGTCTTCAGTTTTTTGAAATTCTTCTATTATCTCTAGACATTTTCTTGTGGACTCTTTGGGATTTTTCTATATAGGATCATGTCATTGTTACATGCCCTCAAGTTGATGATGACTCATAACGATCCTATGACGAATCCATCCGAACCTTGCCCTGTCCGTGCCATCCTCACCGTCTCTGAGGTGCTCGAGCACATTGTTACACTCACTGTTTTAAATCCTTCCTCTCATTCTCTAACCTTACACCTGTAGGTCTTGTCTTTCTCCAAGGACTGGCCCCTCCTGACATTTCCTAAGTATGTGAGAGGGAGTTTCACCATCTTTAGCACTAGGGAGCACCCTTGTTACACTTCCTCCAAGACAGACTTGCTCTTTTGGCAATCCAGGGGGATATTCAGTATTCTTATCCGACACAATTCAAAGGCATCAATTCTTCGGCCTTACTTATTCATTGTCCAACTTTCACATACTTAGAAAGCAACTGAAAATGTCATGTCTTGGATCAGGTGCACCTTAATCTTTAAACTTACAGTCTTGCTCTTTAGCTCTTTGGAGAAGTCATTGACAGATTTTCCCAGTGAGACACATCTTTTCTTTTTTTAAAATTATTTTTATATGTTTATTCACAAAATTCAAATTCACTGTTTTCCAGAACAGATTCTTCCAATTTATCTCACCCTCCCATCAAATTGTACCCCATGATTAATTCCTCTCCCCCGCACATCCTCATCCCTCTTTTTCCACCCTCCCCTCCCCCCTTGGATCCTTATACTCATTCTACAATAATGGTTTTATAGCAACACATCTTTCTTTGACTGCTACTACCATTAGTATTGACTGTGGATCCAAGTAAAAGAAAATCATTTACAGCTTCCATCTTTTCCCATCTAACATGAGAAAAATGGCCCAGTGGTAAGGATCTTTGTTTTCTTTGATACTAAGATGAAATCCATATTGGACACAGTGGTCTTTGATCTTCTGCAGCAAGCACTTCAAGTCTTCCTCACTTTCTGCAATCAACATTGTGCCATCAGCATAATATAGATGTTGATGAGTCTTTCTCCAATCTTGATGTCACATTGTTCTTCATAGTCTGGCTTCTTGAATGATTTACTCAGCATAGAGATTGACTAAGTAGGGAGAAAAGATACAACCCTGATGCACAATGTCCCTGATTTAAACCATGTAGTGTCCCTTTGGTCTGTTTGGACAACTGCTTCTTGATCTAGAAACAGGTTTCACATGAGCACTCTGGGATTCCCATTCATCTCAATTTTATCCCTAACCTGTTATGATCTACACAGTCAAACGCCTTTGCATAATCAATACAGTATAAGTCAACATCTTTCTGGTATTCTCAGCTTTCAGCCAAGCTATATCTAATATTGTTGCTATTGTTGTGTACTGTTGAGTCGGAACCAACCCCATAGTAGATTTTCTGGTGGGTTTGCAGAGGCAGTTAATCACACGAGGGATTGCTCATCTTTCTTCCTCAGAGCAGCTGGTGGCCTTGGACTGTGTCCTTTTGGGATTGCAGCGAAGCTTCTTGCCACTAGGTTACCAGAACTCCCTAGATCAGCAGTAATATCCCTGGTGCCACAGCCTTTCCTGATTACAGACTGAATTTCTGGCAGTTCCATGTAGATGTACTATAGTGATTTTTAAATAATCTTCAGCAAGATACCATTTGCATGTAATATGAATGTTACTGTTATAAAATTTTTCACATTCTGTTGGATCACTTTTTTAAATAGCCAATTATTTTTTAAATAGATTTATATAATTAGAAAAAGGTATTTATTTATCTACATATTGTCATTTCTGGTGCTGTTTATTTTTCTGTGTAAATTCGGAATTGTATCTGGTGTCACTGCCTGTCTGAATACTCCCTCTTATAATTCTTGCCGTACAGTTCTACTGTTATTTACTTTTGCATGTTTGAAAGTCTTTAACTTGTGAATATATTTTCACTAGTTATAGAATTTCTAACTGCAAAAGTTGGTAGAAATCTTCTATTTCCTCCTCTTTGGCTCTGGTTGTTGGTGCATATATCTGAATGATAGTGGGATTCACTGGACTTCCTTGTATGCTTCCTTGTATGGGTATTTTCCTTTCACTCACAACATTGTATTTCAAGAGGAATCTAGAAATTACTTTTTTAAAATAGTTTTTTAAAAATAGTTTTTTAACTATGAAAGCTACCCCATTTTTCTTCACCTTTTCATCTCCAGCATAGTAGATCATATGCCCATCTGATTAAAAATGTCCCATGCCAAACCATCTTACTTCGTCAATATTTATGTGTTCCATTTCTTTCTTAACAATGTCCAATTTTTTTATATTCGTGCTTCTCACGTTCCACGTTCCAATCACTATAGTGTCTGTTTACAACTGTTCCTCTTTCTTTATGTTTCCATATTTGAGGTCTCAGCCTCAGTTGCCCTATCTACTAGTTTGAACGGCTCTATTTTACATAGGGTTTTTGACGGCCTGTTACTTCAGAAGTGGATGGCTAACCCTTCTTCCTAGTCTGTCTTAATTCGAATGCTCAGATTTACAACAGTATCTGACAGAAAAGCATTTTATAGCAAGGAGTAAATGAAAGACATTTCCCCAATTATAGATGCAACCAATAGATTCAATATTGCTCCCTGCCCTTGGCACATGTGTTGACCCACCCCTTTCCCTGCTTCACTGGCATCCCCTTCCACTCCAGCCTATGTCATTCAACACTTCTCTCGCCCTATCCAGCCCTTGATATGATGGCTTAGGTTTCAAGCCTTCTGGGCTTCTGTGATTCTGAACATGTCACGCTGTTGCCAGTCTCTTATGCTGCGGCAAGTATCTCTCTTGAGTTTAGGGGTCTCTACTAGGTACTAGTATTAGGGAAGCCTTCATCTCTCAGATGGTTCTGAGAAGAAGTCTTTTGCCTTGAACTTCTGCTTCAGGACTGACTTCTTGTGGCTTAGTGTATCTTCTCTTTCATTTGCAGCATGCTGCTGTCCACAAGATGGTAGTTTCCCAGGAGAGGGCAATGTGTCCTCTAGATCTGGTATTTAAGTGTTATTTTCTTGGTCCAAGGGCCCAAACTAATTAAGCATTCAGGCCCTGCCTGCTGGAATTCTGAGAATGTTCATTTATCTTGCATTGAATGTGGCCAGGGTAAAGTCTCCTGCCTCTGTGCTCTGTCCCAAAACTATTTAAGCATTCAGGCCCTCTCCAGAGTACTGAAGAGCAATGATGTCAGTCTGGCGACTAAGGTGCACCTGATCAGGCCATAGTCTTCCCAATTACTTGCTGTGCATCAGAAGCTGGACAACAATTAGGGATGATAGAAGGGGAATTGATGCCTTTGAGCTGTGGTGCTGGATAATTGAATATACCGTAGACAGCTAGGAGAACAAACAGGTATATCCTAGAGAGGGCGAGACCAGGCTGCTCCTTGGAGGCAAGGTTTCTAAAGCTTCATCTGACATACTTTGGACATGTTGCAGGGAGGGGCCAGTCCTTGGGGGGAGCATCATGCTTGGGAGGGTGGAAGAGAGAGAGAAAGAGAGAGAGGAAGAGAGAGGAAGATCCTCGATGAGATGGATTGACTCAGTGACGGGTATTGGGAGTAAGAGTGTCAGAGACAATAAAGTTGGCACAGGATAGAGAAGGGTTCAGAGCTGTTGTATATAGGGTCTCTATGAGTTGCAAGTGATTGCACAGCACAAAATAACAACAATGTATAGAATGCTAAGATGACTTTTTTCCCTCTGTAAAGATGTTGTTCTTCAATCTTATTGTTTACATTGCTTCCACCAAGAAATCTCATTCTTACCTCATTCCTCTATACTATGCCTCTGTTTTTTACATGATATATTTTTTTGTCATTGATTTTGAATAATTTGAATATGATATTCCTTGGGGTTCATCCTTGTCTTTTTAGTTCAATGAGTCTCTTGTTTATAGAACTCTTGAAATAGAAAATACTTAAGTCATTTCATCTTAAAATAATTGTCTTTGTAGTTTTGTTTCATTCAGATTTAGGATTTCCTTTTCTAAGTTTTATTTTTAACATTAGATTTGAAATATGTAAAAGATTTCCTTAGTTAAATAATCAAAAGTATATCCTAAGTTATAATTAGTGAAATTTCTTTTCTCCCTTTTTTACTCCATTTTTACCCATTCCATAAATATAATAAATTCATTTAATTTCTGGTTACTTTTTGTGTGTTTCTTATATGAAAGAGAACACAATAAGTTTCTCTTCTATAACTGGCGTTCAAAGTATTTAAGAGTCTAAACTGTTCCCCTGTGCTACATTTTTAAAAAATTAGGAATTAAATTGACATTCTTCCCAAGGTCTATTTTAGAAATCTCTGAAAAATTAAAGGATTCCTGAATGCAGAAAGCTGCCATCTGGTATTGAATTTGCTCCCCATTATAATTTTAATTATGATAAATAGTGGTCCTTTTCATTTGCTGCTTTGACAAGTGCTTTTGTCAGTGACAAGTTGTTTTTTCTCCCATGTGGTAATTTGTAGATTGAGAGGGTCCAGAATCCAGATCTCTGGAATTGCTACCGGGCAAAGAAAAAAACCATGGACGCCAAGAATGTTCAGACTTCTAATGAGAAGCTCCTCTTCCATGGGACAGATGCAAGTTCAGTGCCATATGTCAATCAAAATGGCTTTAACCGCAGTTACGCTGGCAAAAATGGTAAGGGAGTGAGCGGCCTGGCTTCTCCCAGTGAAGGTCAGCCTCCAGAACCCAGGCTGGCGTGTGACAGCGGGGTGACACCATACTCACGCATGGGCTGGGTGGGTGGCTTATCGCAGCAAAGCTTCAAGGTAGGACACACTGTTGCAACCCAGCCTGGGTAGAGGAATTTATTTTTTTTAAAAAACAAACAAAACAAAATGCTGTTAGGAAAATAAGAGGCTTTAGAGAGACAAAGTGAATATTATTGGACATACTGGTTTGCGATTCCAAATTTTACACCAAGGTGAAATGCTTAAAATGTTTTGTTTTTCTTGTTACAGCTGTGGCATATGGAAAGGGAACCTACTTTGCTGTCAATGCCAGTTACTGTGCCCGTGACACATACTCCAGACCAGATGTAAACGGGTTCAAGTATATGTACTACGTGCGGGTCCTCACTGGAGTTTACACGCATGGAGATAGTTCCTTAATTGTGCCTCCTTCAAAGAACCCTCAGGATCCTACTGACCAGTATGACACTGTCACAGATAATGTACAAAACCCAACTTTATTTGTTGTTTTTTATGACTACCAGGCTTACCCAGAGTACCTCATTACTTTTACAAAATAGTATTTTAGCTTCTTTCCCAAAAAGAAATACACAGAGCTACATTTGCTGCAATCCCAAAGGTACTTACTTGGTTCAAATCCACCAGCTGCTCCATGGGAGAAGGATGGGCAATTCACTGCCTCTGAAACCCATCAGCTATGGGTCAGTTCTGACTCTGTGACGACACACAGTAACAGCAACATGTAAAACAAGATTTTAGCTTTTTTTCTTGTAATAGATTTTGGGATTTTTAAAACTAACTTAGTTCAAAAGATCCTTTTTGTTACCGAAAGTAAACTTTTTCGGTTTCCATTTCATAATCTGGAATGAGCCTATTTTGAAAGCATATCAATTTGTGATCTTAAATCTGGTAACTCTCACAATTTTGTGATCACCAAGGACATTTAATCTGTATAAGTAAAGCACAGGAAAGTATCTTTACGAAGGGGAGGATAATGTTAATCACAGAGGCCACAGCTATGCAAATTTCAGCTACTGCACAGACGGCTTGCATCACACCAGGACGCCATATTGCTTTGGTGAGAATAGTATTACCAACTGGCTGTATGTTCCCTGTTGGAGGAATGGTGTTTTTATCCCTGGACTGAGGTTTGCACTCGATAAATAATAGATGCCTCACAAATGTCTGATAAACTAGTTAAGAATGGGGGAGGGGGGAAGCCTCGTCAAACTCCCATCCAACGTCGAAACCACTGTTACCTCTTCACTGCTCAATTCACCATTTCTGTTGTTGCCCTCGAGTTGATGACGACTCATAGAGACTCTGTGAGCACATCTGAATCCTGCTCTTTCACGGACCACCCTCATCACCGACATGCTTGTTCTGTGGCAGGAACTTCATTCACGGGCCAGCCCCTGCCTTGGGGAACAGCTTGTTTCAGGAATCTGGGGTCACAGGGAAGCTTGTGCCCTCAGAGCTGGAGGTGCACTGTGTCCCAGGGAGCCAGCAAGCTCCAGTGTCCAGGCTCCAGTGCCAGAAGGTCCTTTTCTGTGTTGACCCCAAATCTGCTGCCTGCCTTATCACTTCCACTTGTTTCTTAGATCTGCCCAGTGAAAACTATGGAACCTGTTACCCCTTTAAGAGCGAAACCCTTCTACTTTTAAATAGTAAATGAATTCTTAGGCCATTAGATAGTATATTTTCTTTAGCAGCCTAGCTTTTGATGCTTTTAGGGCCTTGCAGAAGATAAAACTAAAGAAATTAAGTAGCCTATTGATAATCTGCTAATTAAGTATTGAATGGTAAAGGCAAGTTGATGTGTTTTTTTATTATTTTATTTTCCCAAATAAATTTCAAACACTGTTTATTTAGTGTGTGGTATAATAGCTGTTGTGGTGTGTGACTTGCTTTTATATGGTTTTTCTAGCCATGGTCTTGTAATTCCCATAAAATTATTGACTGGGTCACAGTCTTGCAAGGAATTAGCCAGTTGACTCTACATATGGATCAATCACCCAACAGGACTGAATCCTTTGCACTCTAGCCAGGGCATGCATCAATTCTGGCACCCTGATAAGCCCAGGGGGCCTCACTATCAACCAGAGTTTGGAATAGAATGCATCTTTTGCACCTGGACATTGGGAACTTCCTAGACTCAGAGGAGAGAATTGTTAATGAAGAAGATAACTGGTGCTGTAGGCTCGCCAGCTCTCTACCTACCCATGAACATACAGGACAAAAGAGTGAGAAAGTGAGGGAGCGAGCTAGTGGGTGGCTCTAGGCAGGAGGTGTACCTGAGCCACTGAAGACCTGTAACTTGCCTGAACCAGGTGCCCCATTCTGGAGTCGCTGGAGGCTGGGAAATTCCTTTGTAAAGGTCTTCCTACAACAGGCTGAGGTTTGGTGCCTCTGGGGAGAAGGCTTGCCAACCATGCTAAAGAGCTGTAATATTTGCCTTGTTAAGGTGCCGAATATCCCATGGACTGCCAAAAGGCAAAAATAAACAGTCTTGGAAGTGCAGCCAGAGTGCTCCTTGGAGGCAAAAATGATGAAGCTTTGTCTCATAATTTCAGCATGTTAGAAGAGGCTATTTCTTGGAGAAGGACATCATGCTTGAGAAGGCGGAGGGACGGTGAAGGAAAGGAAGACCCTCGACCAGGTGGCTTGGCACAGTGACTAAAGCAATGGCCTCAAGTGTGTCAGAGGTAGTGAGGATGGCACAGGTTAGGACAGGGTTTCAGATCTGTTGTTCATGTGGCCACTTTGAATTCTACTCGATGGCACCTAACAGCCTTGGGGCAGAGGGCTGAGTGTGTCCTGTACAACATACTCCTTTCCCCTTCTCTCAGGATGGTGGGGACCATACATCCCCAGGGCTGCAGGAGTCCACATAACAAGAGGAGGAACCAGCCTGCTCCCTACTTTACCTTTGTTCTCCAGCGGTTTGGTTAACTCAGGGCAAGGCAGATTGTTAGGATGTCCTGCACTTAACGTGGTGATCCCATTTGACAATGTTGTATGTATCCTTAAAGAAATACATTGTTTTCATCCGCTTTTGAATTAAAAACAACCCTGAAAACTGTCATTTGGTGGTAAATATTTTTATCCTAGATGTTAAGCTAACATGGGTTAGCTTCATGATAAGCATAGGGCATTATGAGAAAAGGTCACAAGTAAACATGACAGCTTCACAGGGGTACTCAGGGTCTTATTAATACCTCACTGAAATTTACAAGGGACACAACACAGGTTTAGTTAAGGAAAAATCACTTTCTTCTAAGACAAATCCACTCTCAGTCTGTGGTAGATTCTGTGGTCTATCCAAGGAGCAGAGGAACCTTTTGCTTATTTGAATGACTTGTGATATTTGCTAGTCTGCAATTTCCTGCTCCATCTCAAAGGCTTCAGCTTCTGCAGCTACAGAGTGGTGCTCGGGAATCTGCTTTGTGGACAAGCTGCCCCTGAAACTCAGAGCTGCATTTGGACATTATTATGGCCTTAGCCACTTAGGTTATTTTTAGGCTTACATATGTATGTGTATATTTTCATCTATGTTTTATAAAGACAAACACTGAGACTAGATCATATTCTATTTCCTCTGATTTTAAAAGAAAATGTACCTTTAAAACATTTTTTCTAAGTGATGTTAACCACAAAAGGGCAAATACTAATATGAAGTGTCTAGATTTGGAAATGTATAAAGACAGAAGTTCATTGGTAGTTTAACCATTAGTGGTCATCAGGGACAGGAAGGGGAGGAACAGGGAGGGTCACTGCCTCAGCAAACAGTCTGTATTCAAGGTGATGGAACATTTTAGAACTGGACACTGGTGGTTGTACAAGAGCCCAACATGATAAACATAACTGATATAGTGGAAGTATACCAAGAAAAGATAACGCAATAGTGAAGGTTTTATTTATATATATATTTGTAACCACAATAAAAATATTTTACAACTGAATTGATTTAATAAATATCAACTAAAGTTGGATCATATTCTTTATTTTTCTGATTTTAAAAAAAAGAAATAGAAACGTTTTTTTTAAATAGCCCTCTAAAGAGGAGCTCTTGTGGCCTAGTGGTAAGAAGCAGCATTGCAATCCCAAAGGCATGTGGTTCAAACCCACCAGTTGTTCCATGTAAGAAGGATAGGTAATCTCCTTCTATGTGGTTTGTTGTTGTTATGTGCCATCGAGTCACCTGAGACTCATAGTGACCCTACGTACAACAGCCCTAAACCCTGCTCTGTCCCTTGCCAATCTTACTGTCTCCAACACACCTTTCCCCATTACCCCACTGAATCAATCCATCTTATTGAGGGTCTTCCTCTCCTGTGCTGTCCCTCCACCCTCCAAAGCATGATGTCCCTCTCCAAGGACTGATCCCACCTTGTAACATGTACAAAGTATGTCAGACGAAGCTTCAGAATCCTTGCCTCCAAGGAGTAGCCTGGCTTCACCCTCTCCAGGATGAACTTGTTCTCTTAGCAGTCCATGGTATATTCAATACTATTCTCCAGCCCCACAGCTCAAAGGCATCAACTCTCCTTCCATCATTCCTAGTCATTGTCCAACTGTCTGATGTATAGCCAGTAATTGCAAGGAGCATGGCCTGTATCAGGCTACCTTAGTCTTCCGACTGATATCGTTGCTCTTCAGTATTTTGAAGAGGTTTCTGAGAGTAGACTTTACCAATGCAATTCACCTTTTAATTTGTTGGCTGCTGGTACCAAGAGTGTTGACTGCAGAGCCAAGCTGAAGCTATTGACAATGTCAATCTCTTTCACTATCTATCATGATGCTGCCAGTGAGTCCAGTGGTAAGAATTTTTATTTTCTTGATGTTGAGCTTCAATCCACAGTGAAGGCTGCAGTCCTTGAACTTCTGCAGCAAGCACTTCAGGTCCTCCTTAGTTTCAGCAAGCAGGGTTGTATCCTCTTCATAACACAGATTGTTGATGAGTTTTTTTCCAATCCTGAAGCCACATTTCTCCTCATAGAGCCCAGCCTCCTGGATAATCTGTTCTGCATACAGATTGAAAAGGTATGGAGATAGGACACATCCTTGACGCACACCCTTCCCAATTTTGAACCTTGCAGTGTTTCCTTGCTCTGTTATGACGACTGCCTCCTAGTCCAAGTATAGGTTTCGCATAAGCACAATCAAGTGGTTTACTGCCTCTGAAAACCCTCTGGAGGGTCAGCTGTAGTTCAGTTCCAAGTCAGCAGTGCTTACCACCACAAGAAAAGCATTATATGGCCTTTCCTCCCTCCCTCCTGTCATCTCTTCACACTGAAAAACAGAGTGTAAAGCTAAGCAATACAAGCTTTAGTTCTTTTTGGCCATTGAAGGGTCAAGGTGTCTTTAATCAATTACTCCACTGACTAAGATAGGCTCATTTTTGAAATGCAGGAAGAGACTGGACCCAGACACCCTGGTTGTTGACAGCCTTCCCCTCCACTATCCTTTCTCACCCTCACAGTCCTTTGTAATGAGCTGGGATCTCTCCCTGTTTCACAATCTCTGTGGTGGGCCTGATGTATGAGGAGAGGAGTTATGC